GGGCACCTCTTGCTTGGGGAAGGAGGCTGTATCTGTGAAGTGATGGTGTAGGGAAAGGAGATTTTCAAGGACGGCAGAACCCAGCATAGACATGGCTACGGGTGCCAGGTTCTGGGGTCCAAACTTGAACCTAGAGGTGATGGGAGATTTTGGAGGGTTTGAAACAGGGACCAGGCTAAGGGCTATGTGTAACAATGACCCTTCAGCAGAAGCATGGAGACCAAAGTAAGGGAGGCCAGCAGGGAGTCCTGGAGACAGGAGATGTCCAGGAGACAGGGGTGAGGGCTCGAACTAGGAGGCCAGTTGTCCTGGTCTGTCCAAGACCATCCTGGTTTTAGCATCAAAAGTCCCATGTCCTGGGCAACTCTTCAGTTCCTGGCAAACAGAGATAGCTGGTCACCTCAATCTGCGACTATGTCCCAGGGCCTGCGTGTCCTGAAAAGTGATCCAGTGACTTCTAGGAAACTTTGAAATATCCCCCCAGTTGTGCCCTACCCTTTACAGACCTCTCCTCAAACCACCACTCCTCAGTCCACTTCGCTGATTCTAGACCTGCCAACCTGTAGACATAAAGAGATTTGTGAGAAAAACATCCCCACTTACCAACTTCCAGCCCTCTCCCCTACTCTCTTCTATGAAACCGAGGCTTCAGTCACAGTGAATCAGTCCCTATGCCAGAGCAAAGCTCGTAGACATTTGTGTCCACTGGGCCAGCGTAGGAACGTTACATTCCCTATTTCTCTGCCTCTTGGAGCCTGTTGTGAATACCGCCTCCCCACAGGTCTGCTGAGTACTACAGAGCAGCTCCTGTGTGTTAGGTCCCTCCTAAGGAGCTTTTCACACCGTACCACTAATCCACACAGCAAATAAATGTCAATAGTCTCTTTTTCCAGATGAGGAAACCAAGACTCAGAGAGGAGAAGTGTCTTGTCTAAGGTCATGCAGCTACTAGCCTTCCCCTCTGTCTTCTTTGCAATTCTCTGTTGGCCTCAATCCTTGTACTGATGATGTAGGCACTTCTTTCGCTCTACCTGCGCCCCTGACCAAACATACACACAACTGTCAACCTAGAACAATACCAGGCTTCTAGTCGGACCTCGATAGAAATTCGGTGAATGAAGGGACTGCATATGTTTCTTCTATAGTACCTTAACCTGGTGCCTGGCATTAAATAGGTTCTCCACAAATGGTTTTAACTGAGCGGTAGTTGCAACACCTGACCAAATAAGAGTATGGCAGAAGAGGGCAGATCAGGAGAAAACACATTATGGCAAAACCTCATCTAGCCAAAGCTTTCTGGAAAGCAGTCATTCTAAGGGCTGAGGGGGAACCTTTGAATCCAGGAAGAATAATCCTGGGGCTGCTTCTTTCTCAGAGTTCCCCTCACTTCCACCACTCCTTCTGAGCTCCCCAGTCCCCTTGACTTTCTTTTCATTTTTGTTTTCTTTTTTTATTTTTTTTTAAAGTTCTTTTGCCTCTCGCAAGGCATGCCCCCAGCCTGGCCCGAAACCCAGGCATGTGCCCTGACTGGGAATTGAACTGGTGACCTTTGGACTTACAGGACGATGCCCAACCCACTGAGCCACGTCAGTGAGGGTCTTTCTTTGTTTTCTTGTTGCTCCTTAGAAGGTTCTTAGCTTCCCAGCTTAATCCAGACTCCCCATTCCTTCTGGTTTGCCACACTGATCGCAGTCTTCCCTGGCCTGCCCTGCACGCTTTTTGTGCCTAGTCCATTTCTAGCCCCATTTCTAGTCCGCAGCAGCCCCTCCTCCATCAAGCCTGCCCTGATCACCTCGGGCTAGTGGCTGCTGGTCTCCCACACACCCCATGGTTCCCATACAGGTGCCTGGGCTTGCGTCTACCTCACATGCTGGGCTATGAGTTTCTTGCGGGTTCAAATCATATCAGCCTTAAATGTTTGCGAATGGACTTGGTAGACCTTTGGTGCTTTCTGACCACCTTTCCTTTGGCACTGCTGACTCAGCGGCAGCAAACCTTTTCCTTTTCGATTGGTTGGGTTGTAATTGAGTAATTACGAGTGCTGGCTATTCCATTTGTCTGCCAGCCTACTTCTCTTCTTCCTGCTTTTTGTACATTCCCTGGTATTTTACACTTGTCCATTTGGCTCAAGAGAGCCGCAGCTCGGGCGGCATGCTCTCTGTTTGGGGGAGAAAGGGGTAGCCAATTGGCGTCTGACCCAGCCCTGCCAGTCACTCTTGCTAGAGGGACCAGGAGACCAGACCTCCTTTATTTGTTCCACAAGCATTTACTTGAGTGTCTACTCTGTACCAGGCCCTGAGCCATGCGTTAGGAGGACAGAAACGAAAATTGGCCTATCCTTGCCCTGCATCTGGTGGGCTGTGTGACCTTGCATTCTTTCTAGGCCTCCTCCATTTACTGATATGAAAGTAAAGTGGGGAGAGCCTTGATCTGTAAGGAGACTCGGAGCTCTGGACAGTGGGGATCGTGTTTATCCTGGACACCCCAGCCCTCTCACACCTGTGCTTTCCGTTACAAGAGCCAGGCCCCCCCTCACCTGTCTTCCTCCTCCCCCCACAAATTCCAAGCAGGTAAGCTCCAATACATCTCACCCTGGATGTGGTCAAATGGCCCCAAGAAGCATCTTAAGAACCGCAGCTAGCTAGGGAAAAGTAAATGAGGAAGCAGAGCCCTGACTGGTATAGCTCAATATGTTGGGCATCTGCCTGCTGACCGAAAGGTTGCGGGTCACAGGGTTCAATTCGGAGTCAGGGCACATGAGTGGGTTGAGGTTCGGTCCCCGGTCAGGGCGCAAAGTTGATGTTTCTCTCCCTCTCTTTTTCCTTCCCTTCCCCTCTCTCTATAAATACATACATACATACATACATACATACATACATACATACATAAAATCAATCTTTAAAAAAAGAAAAAGGGGCGACATGTCTGGTGGCCATTCTAGGGGACATTGGAGAATGAAAGCACACCCCTACAACATGCCAAAAAACTTCTCTAAGCACAACTCTGAGGAGTCATATTAGTCAGTCTTATCAGGAGGTCCCACTGCAAGCAGAGCTGGGGGTGGCATGGGTAAGAAGGAAGACAGTTCTGCTAAGGAGAAGGCTAAGGAATCAATATTTTCCTGCCCTTGTAGGACACGTGATACCATTTTTTGTATTTGATTTTCCTAACAACTCTTTTGATTACATTAAAAAGTTTTCTTCTTCTTCTTTTTTTCTTTCTACCTTGGCTGGTGTGGCTCAGTGGATTGAGTGCTAGCCAGTGACCTGAAAGGTCACTGGTTCAGTTCTCAGCCAGGACACATGACTGGGTTGCAGACCAGGTCCCCCGTTGGGGGCCTGCGAGAGGCAACCGACAGATGTTTCTCTCCCTCTCTTTCTCCCTCCCTTCCGCTTTCTCTAAAAATAAATAAATAAAATCTTTAGAAAGGTTTTATTTTTCTTTTTGAGCACTTTGTATACTCAAAGCCGTGTGCTGGAAATACTAGCCCTTCTCCTTTAGGGCACTTAATCACAAATTCAAGTGTATAGATGGTTTTTGTGACTTTCTGTTTGTTTGTTTTTTTGATGCCTGTCTCCTCATCTGCACTATAAGTTCAGTAAAGGCATGAATCATGTCCATTGTCTTCCCCGCTGAACCCTCAGCACCTACAACACTATACGGCCAACAGCAGTCACTCAATAGATAATTACAGAAAAACAATAAACCCAGAGTTCCGGAACCTGGGGACAATCTTTAATTTTGCAAAGGCTGGTATGCAGAAGCAAGCCTCTTACCCTGAAAACCTAGTAGATATTCAGTAAACATTAATGGAACTAAACAAATAATAACAACAGGAAACACATAATACCTACTGTGTCCCAGGCCCTGTGCCAAACACTTTATATTCATTCACTCATTTAATCCTCACAGCAACCCTATGAAGTAGGTACTATTATTATAGCCATTTTACAGATGGACAAAATTGAGGCTCAGAAGTTCACCAGTTTGTAAGTGGCAGAGCTGAGATTTGAACCCCAGCTGTCTGGCTCTAAAGTCCATCCCCTTAGCCACTGCACTGCCTCCCAAGAAGAAGCAGTCACACTGAGATCTAGAGAGATGAGCAATTTCCAAAACTGTCATGGCAACAACATGGTGGAGCCAGGACCGAAGCCCAGGTCAGCTCTCTGTACAATACTTTCCCTGCTCTATCATATGGAATCTGGCTGTTGATCCGTAGCCCCTGGGAACAGAGCACAAGGAGGGATTTCAGAAGGATAGATATGCAGAAAAAGGTCCTGGTCAACTAGGTGGCTCTCAGCAGACGACAGGAAGAGGCAAAGAGCAGACACTAGGGCAGAAACAAAAGTGGTTACCAGGTCCCATTGCTTTTTTCTTTTTTTCTTTTTTTTATATTTTATTTATTTATTTTTAAAGGAGAAGGGAGGGAGAAAGAAAGAGAGAAACTTCAGTGTGTTGTTCCTCTTGCGCACCCCCTACTGGGGACCTGGACTGCAACCGAGGCATGTGCCCTGACTGGGAATGGAGCCAGCGACCCCTTGGTTCGCAGGCCAGTGCTCAATCCACTGAGCCACACCAGCCAGAGCCAAGTCCCATTTCTTAAGCAGGGAAAGGTAGCAGGTTGCTTTCAGAGGTCCTACTTGAGGCTCAGGCCATTCTTCTTCCTAAAATAATTAACCAGGGTGCCTCCCCACCCACACACACACAGCTAGAATCACCCCAAGGCCATTTCTGCCTCATCGCAATCAAGGACACATGGAGAAAGGCTATATGTATATTAGAGAGATTAGAGACTAGGATCTGAAACCTGATGTGTGTAGGAAGTCGGGGCGGGTCAGAGAAACAGAGACTGGAAGGAAGTCAAGGTCAAGTCTCCAACCTCCAGCAGGTGAAGGGACTCGGTGCTAAGAGACTGAAGCAAAGCACCTGTAAGCACCTCAGCTTTAGAGGCTCTGGCCTTCTGTTTGGGCTTCTTGCCACGACAGAGCAGCCTCACGGTCATGGCCTTCCTGTCCCGACTGAATCTTCAGGAGGGCCTCCAAACCTTCTCTGTTCTGCAGTGGCTCCCCGTCTGTGTGATTTTAGGTGAGTGACCCCGGGAGCCGGAGAGCACAAGGAAACAGGCTAAGAAAGAGGCCAGGAATTCCCGGATGAGGGGGGCTCCCAAGGGCTCATTTGGTCAGTCCCTTCCCTCCTCTGGGAAGGGCTGTGTGTGTTCCTCACTCAAGACAACCACTACTGTTGAGTTCACTGGATTTCTCTCCTTCCAGCAGAGGGGTGTTGAAGGCCAGGAGTGAGGCTGTGGTTATTCTACTTTGTTTGGTTGGTTTTTTTTTTTTAAATTCTCATTCGAGAGAGACAGGAAGGGAGAGAGGGAGAGGGGATAAAAAAAAACCCAAAAACATTGATGTGCTGCTTTCTGCATGTGCCCCAATGAAGAACCGAGCCCACAACCCAGTTATGTGCCCTGACTGGGAATCAAACCAATGACTTACTGATAAACAGCATAATGTGTCAACCAAGGAGCCATGGCAGCCAGGGTAGGCTTGTCTAGTTTAAAGATCACCCAGGCCTTCTCAGGACTGTTCCCTCTAGTTCACAGTCATATATAGGGACGGAGGCAAAGGTGGTGGCGGCTTTGCCAAGTTGGTGTTACTGGATAGGTGTAAAGCGGTTTCCCAGTATAAGGCAAGGTGAGAGAATCTTGAGAAATCTCGGGGCTGCCTGAGGAACTCATTTGACAGAATTTTGAGAAAAGGCTAGTTGTTCAACAGACTCTCAGCCAGAAACCAGGGTTTTGTGAGCAGCCGATCAGGGGGCAAGCTTGGAAGCTGGACGGGAAGAAATGTCATCCTGAAGGACGAGGCAAGTGAAAGGCAGCCTATCCCAATCCAGGGACGGCTGTGTGACCCCTTAGAGCAGAGGTGCTTCACCAGGACCTTGAATTCGGGGTGGGGGGTGGAGCAACTTTGAATTTGGATGGAAAAAAATTGCCTCTTTATTTTCACTGATTTCAAATGGAAATGACGAGTATAGGCAACAAACCACACACGTGTTAGCTGTACCTGGGAATTTGTCAGTAACATGACAGAGATGTGCACATCATGGAGCAGTTGCTGCAGGCATCTTGACATTTCGTTTCTGGCTCATGACTGTTTTGAAATTCTTACAGTGATTAAAGCTGCCATTAGGTCTGCTTATTTAATGCATAAATTAAGAGGCCCATCTTACGATAGCACATTTTTGTCATGTTTTGATAACTGCATTTTAATATATTGAGTTTCCTTTGTAAATCTGTATTTTATTTTGTGCATTAAAAATATTATTCAGAGAAGGGTTCATAGGCTTTACCAGACTGCCAAAGGGGTCCATCACCCTCAAAATGTAAAGACTTCTTCAGCCTCATTGAAGTCAAATCACGCTGAGCTTTTAGTCTCTCCTTGGCTTGACTCTAATAAGAGAGGGAAGTGATTTTTCCGTAAATTCATTTGTTTCTAGTCCTTCCTGTTTTCTTGTTTTCCTATGTGTTTATCTTTTTTTAAAGATTTTATTTATTTATTTTTAGAGAGAGGGGAAGGAAGGGAGAAAGAGAGGGAGAGAAACATCGATTGGTTGCCTCTTGCACATTCCCCACCAGGGACCTGACTGGGAATCTAACCAGTGACCTTTCAGTTTGCAAGATGATGATGCCCAACCCACTGAGCCACACCAGTCAGGGCTCCTTTGTGTGTATCTTAACTCCTCAAAAAGCTCCCCTTGACAAGTTCTAGCCCTGAGCTCAGAAAGTGAGGGGCACAGGAGTGTCCTCAGAGACTTGGCATCATGATGGCAGCCACCATTTCAAGTCTGGATCCCAAAAACAGTGGGCAAAGATGGGGCAAAGAGGTCAAGAGAGAAAAAGCTGTGTGAGCTGATTCTTTTAGGTGGGGGATCTGGCCAACCCCAGAAAGCTTTTCTGTGGTATTTGAACACAACTGTCAGACTGTTCTGGTTCTTCCAGGGAGACCTCCTGAATAAAACGTTCTCATTTTTCTCCCCTAAAATGATTTCTTCTTTTTTAAAATATTTTTTATTTTTCATTTATTTATTTCTAGAGAGAGGGGAAAGGAGGGAGAAAGGAGGGAGAGAAACATCAATACGTGGTTGCCTCTCACACACCCCCTAATGGGGACCTGGCCCACAACCCAGGCACGTGCCCTGACTGGGAATTGAACTGGCAACCCTTTGGTTGCAGGCCAGCACTCAATCCACTCAGCCACACCAGCCAGGGAAATGATTTCTTCTTATGTATTTTTTTTCTCTCTTCCTTTTTCCTTCTCAAAGACACTGTCTCTGGACAGGGATAGGGTAGAATGTACATCCAACACTGAATATGCAATGGTCCAAGGAGGTGAGTTAGCCTCCTAGTCATGCCCAACCCCAATCTCACCAGCTGCCACTTATCCTGAAAGAGCTGGAGGAGTGGAGTGAGGATGTCAGGGACAAACGAGGGCATTGGTACATCTTAAGTAAAAACACTAATAATAGATGTGAATGTTTTCTTTCACCTGCATTTTTAATTTTTTTTATCCTCACCCAAGTATATTTTTCCCCCATTGCTTTTAAAGAGAGAGGAAGGGAAAAAGGGATAGAGAGAAATACCGATGTGAGAGAGAAGCATCGATTCGTTGCCCCTCGTACATGTCCAGACCAGGATCAAACCTGTAACCTAGGTTTGTGCCATGATGGGGAGTTGAACCCACAAACTTTCAGATATGAGACAACGTTCCAACCAACTGAGCCACACTAGCCTGGGGCTCGCCTGAATTTTTAAAATCATGGTAAAATGCCATAACAGAAAATCTACCACCTTAACCATTTTTTGAAGATTTTAATTATTTATTTATTTAGAGGGGAAGGGAGAGAGAAGGAGGGAGAGAAACACCAATGTGTGAGAGATACATTGATTGGTTGCCCCTTGAATGCACCCAACTAGAGGCCTGGCCCATAATTCAGGCAATCCAGGCATGTGCCCTGACCGGGAACCAAACCAGTGACCTTTTGGTTCAGGGACCAGCACTTAATCCACTGAGCCACACCAGCCAAGGCTACCACCTTAACCATTTTCAACTGTACAGTTGAGTGGCATTAAGTACATTCACAGTGTTGTGCAACCATCATTACCATCTATCACCAAAACTTTCTCATCTTGTAAAACTGAAACTCTGTACCCATTAAATAATAAATCCCTATTCTTCTCTCTCCCAAGCCCCTGGCAACCAACCTTCTACTTTCTGTCTCTGTAATTTTGCCTGCACTGGGTACTTCATATAAATGGAATCATACACTATTTGTTCTTTTGTGACTGGTTTATTTCACTTAACATAATGTCTTCAAGGTTCATCCATGTTGTAGCAAGTGACATGGTTTCTTTCCTTTTTAAGGTTGAATAATATTCCATTGTTGGGATATATCACATTTCATTTATCCATTCTTCTATTAATGTACACTTGGGTTGCTTCCATCTCTTGACTATTGTGAATAGTGCTGCTATGTACATGGTTGTTCAAATATCTATATGAGACACTGCTTTCAATTCTTTTGGATATATAGTCATAAATGGAATTGCTGGATTTTATGGTAATTCCATTTTAAATTTTTTGGAAGAACTGCCATACTGTTTTCCACAGCAGTGGCACCATTTTATTATACATCCCCACCAACAGTGTAGAGAAGTCTCAATTTATCCACATTATTGCCAACACTTCTTTGTATTATGTTTTTTTATATTAGCCATCTCAATGGATATGAGATGATATTTACTTGTGGTTTTAATTTGCATTTTCCTAATGGTCAGCGGTTTTGATGATCTTTTCATGTGCTTATTGGCCATTTATCTTAACTTCTATTTATTTATTTATTTATTTTTACTTTTAAAGAGAGGGGAAGAGAGGGAGAAAGAGAGGGAGAGAAACATCAATGTATGGTTGCCTCTCACGCGCCTCCCAATGGGGACCTGGGCTGCAACCCAGGCATGTGCCCTGACTGGGAATTGAAATGACAACCTTTTGGTTTACAGGCTGGCACTCAGTCCACTGAGCCACACCAGCCAGAGCTGTCCTGACTTCTTTTTAATTAATTATCTTTATCATTCCATTTGTCTTCCTTTACTAGTTTAGGTGTATACATTTTGTTTCTATTCTTTTAGTGATTATGCTAGAAATTCCAACATGAATCCTGTGTTTTGTAGGTTACCAAGGTAGTTACAGAATCTAACAGTTGTGATGCCCACAGAGGTACTTAAGGTATTCAAACATGTTCAGCAGTTACAGAGCAAACACTAAAGGTAAGAACTTGGCTCTCTATGCTGAGACTACAACGATGAGTCTAGTACAGTTTCCCTACTATCTAGTAACAAAGATCAATTAATCATTCATTCCACCATGGTACACATTTCAGGTGTTAGTGCTGGACATATACACAAATCACTGCGATGCAGGACAGGCTGTGGCTAGTGAAAGAAAGAGCCCCAACAAAGTGATATTAAGGTTTCAGAAAAGAAATTAATACACTCAGTTGAGTAGATCAGGGAAGACAAGAAAGGGAAGCAGTATGGCACAGTGAACAGGATGTGGGCTGTGGAGATCATCCGACTTGGATAAGACAATTAGCTGTGTGACTTTGGACAAGTACTGTAACCCTTTTAACCTCAGTGTCCTCAGCCTCTAACCTGGTCCACAGTGAATGCTTCATACAAAAGAAAAGTGCCCTTCCTTCTTTCCTTCATTCCTAACTTCTTCCTCCTTTTTCTCACCCTCTTTCCTTCATTTCTTCTATCTTGCTCGGAGGCTCTCTCAGTGCTTCTCCCTCCCAAATGATGTCCAGAATCATGGCAGATTACTGAGCATTCCTGGCAGGGGTGGGCAAGGAAATAGGGAAAAGGGGGATAAAGGGGCAAGAAGGAGGGAAGGAGTGAGAAGAAAGGAGTGAAAAAAGTGTTTGGTGGATCCCTGACTGGTGTGGCTCAGTGGGTTGGACATTGTCCTGCAAACCAAATGGTCCTCGGTTCAATTTCCGATCAGGTTGTGGCCATACCCAGTATGAGT